ACTAACTTAGACATGACTAACAGCAGCAGAGTTTTTAGGATTGTCCTTTTTTTCCTGTGTGTTTTACGTATTTCTAAGTGCCTTTCTAATCTTAATAATGATGTTTTCATCTATTAGATAAATTTCTAATTGGAAGGAGGAGTACCAACCTAAACGTATCGTATTCAGCGTTAGCGTGTCTGACTTTCCCAGTCCATCAGCTCAACCCGCAGTGTATAGTTCTTCTGGGTAGTCAGGAGGTGGATGTTGTCGTTCCCAAGCCAGTATTCCCCGTTCTTGTTCCCAAACCCGTGCTTGTGCTCCTCCCAGGTCCGGTTGAAGGGAACCGACCCGTCCATTCTGCGCTGGATGACAGTCCATCCTCCTCCTGTAGAAAAACACACATCGTTACTTTCTAGACTATGTCGCTATGAAAGTAGTTTTTCCATAATGACAGTACAGAAGGTCTTCGACCGACTCGATGTGATTTTGCCCATTAAATAGCGGTGTGATCAATAACAAGAGGGTCGACTTGTGCATTCCTACGTTATAGACTAAGTATTAGCGTTGCGACCAAAAACAAGTAACTGGATATGATTTTTGGAAACGGTCAGACGTTTCATCTAGTATCCACGGACTTGGGACTTCTAAAAATTGCCTTCACTTATTTGCATAGCAATCAGAAGTTCGTGCTTATAAACCTGCATTTCTCCTCTGGTCTCTCAGTCACTGACGAAAGGTAGTGGATACTAGCTGAAACGTCTGACAGTTTCCAAAATCATATCCAGTTACTTGAGTAACTGCTTTTTGGCGTATCTTATTACCTAGATGTCCAACCTTCATCGACGTATTAGCGTTGCGTTTGCAAGTTTGGCCGAGTTAGGCAGGGGAGTTAGACCTCCTTGGTTAGACCAGTTTATATATACAAAATTTGTTAGAGTGTCGGATACTGTGACAAGTTTGCAGGTTTTGGACGAGTTAGGCAGGGGAGTTAGACCGGTTTATTGCTTGAACTCATGCTGTGCACAATATGTATAATATTGTGTGATGCCATTTGAATCAACTTGGATAACTCAAACATTGCGAATTGGTAGCCAAACAACTTCAGTGTGCGAAGCGTTAAACAGGCGTATATTTACGGCACACCTGTGTATATTACGGATCTCTATGTGCCTGGAAACAATATCTACCTGCTGTATCCATGTCACAGTAGACCGTTACACCGCACAGGGCTGAGCCAAGTATGTAGACTCTACTGGTCGTGTGTCCGGCGGCTTTATATGCTGCACAGTCTGGGGCTAGACAGCTACACTGCAATAAAGGTATTGTAACACATACAAATATGACGTTAGGAACAGGATAAGATAGGAACAGGTAAAACAAAGTACGCAACAACCTGAAATGTCCAGAGCAGCCTTTCGTGGATCGGTTGAAAGTAGAAAGCGAAATTGGGGAGGACTGCGGTGACATATGTCGGTTTGCTGGAGTATTATAATTAGTCCTCCCTCTAAATGTATAATTACTAGTATTGCTTTTATATACTTAAAAACACATACTATTTTGGTAGTCAGTGCTGCATGAGTGTGCATTGAGAACCATAGTTCAGGAAGGTAATAATGTGAATGAACGTACGCAGTACTTTAGGAATAGATCTGTCTCAAGAAAGATATTCCAGATCAAGGTATAGCCACTGAGGAAAATAATTCAAGTTTTCTCTCGTCCAAATCAGTGGTAGACCGTCTGTTGGTGTAAAGCGGTGTTTGTTTGTTAGTTTGTTTGTTAAGCCTGCATGTTTACCTGTCCAGGAGGTCCGGATGGGCCGGGAGGTCCGGGTGGGCCGGGTGGGCTGGGAGGTCCGGGTGGGCCGGGAGGTCCGGGTGGGCCGGGAGGTCCAGACAGGCGTCCGAAGTCTGTTTAGAGTTCGATGTTCAAGGGTTAGGTGTAACAAGTCATTCGGTGTAATGTAGCCAGCTGCCGTCGCGCCGCGTGCCTGCGAAGCTTGTGTGTTACGCCGAAGGGCAGTTGTAGCGGCTACACAGATACAAAAGCTGGTGTGTTACGCCGAAGGGTAGTTATACCGGCTATATATATACAGATACAGAAGCTGGTGTGTTCGGCCGAAGGGCGGTTATACCGGCTATCATACAGAAGCTGGTGTGTTACGTCGAAGGGCGGTTATACCGGCTATGTATATATATATACAGATACAGAAGCTGGTGTGTTACGCCGAAGGGCGGTTATACCGGTTATGCGTAAACAGGTGGTGGTATACGCAGGACACATTACTTACGTTCCAGCTCGGTTTGTCGTACTGAAAGCTTCGTCACCTCCTGAGAGAGGATCTGCAGGTTACCTGTATTTAAAAAAAGAGGGAAAATCGAGCTTGCTATGGCCTATATCAATACTGCGAAATTGGAACGAGCTTTTTTAAACATTGCCGTTATTGAAAAGATATAAACTTGATTTGCTGTGATACTGCAGTAAAACGGACGTTTCAAATACCACTACCGTATTTCTTGAAATTTTCACTGTGGTTTTATTTTCACGGTGAACTCATCGCCGCGAAACACAGCACTAATATGGTTTTCCGGTGAACACTTTGAATCACATTGAATGCGCCTCGATCCCAAACCACTTCTTGAGGTGGTTTCGAATCGGTTATTGTTCCCCGCATCGCGATTTGCGTCTGAAGTTACTCTGAACGCAATGTGATTTCAATATGACTTCACCCGGTCATGGATTACGGGGTGATATTTCTTTGTTTATATGCAATACCAAATTTTACGTGGCAGCAACCTAAAGAGCAGTAATGTTCAAATAATGTGTCCGTTCTAGGACGAGCTTCACCGGCTCTGGCGGGACCACGTTGGGATACGCTGGGAGGGTGGCACCAGCAAGCAGGTCGTTGACCTCTGACATTAATAACACGCTACCTTGCGTGTTTTCATCAAACAACAATGAATGCAGTATCGGAGAATCGTGACCGGGCACGGTTCGAAAGGAATGTATGGCACGTGGAGCAGATGTGAGGAATGCGAGTTACCCGAATCGCGGTTCGGGTGGTTTCATATGAACAAGGCCTAAGTCTTGGGTTAAGCTATGCCAGGTATTTGGGCACCTGAATATCAAGGAGAACATACGTAGCTGGGATTTAGTGTGGATCTGTTTTAAGTTATTCGTTTGTCTTGTGTTGATGAAAATAAAGCCCAAATTGTATTTTAACAAACTTTTAAACTAATCTGGTATACAAGAGCTACTGAGAATTATTTTGTAGACGCAAAGAGATGCCTGTAACACTTAAATATTTAAGTTTCGAAACAACGATGAGGAGGGACATTCCAAACGCAAACTGACCTGCCACGAAGGGAAGTGCGACGGCCATGACCGCGAAGACCAGCCCACCGAAGGCCCACCAGAACTTCTTGCACCAGCGGGACCACTTGGTCTTGTCAACGTTGCAAGTGGTTGTGTCATCGGTTTCTGTTCGACAAAAAAATAATGTGTTTATTGAAACCACGACTGGTCACTGTCTGGAACAAGCTAAGTCCTGATCTTCGTATGTAAAACTGGTACACAAAACACCCTAAATTAAGTATTATTACTAGTTTTTCATCATAATATATTTAATATATATTATGTAATATTTACATAATATTGTAGTGTTTGGGAGAACAACTTGTAAAGGTGTCAATACACCTGTTTTTGTCTTCCCTTCAATTTGTTTCTTAGTACTCATGGTAAACTCAAATGAATAAATAAAGAAACATAAGACAATATTTTGGTATTTAGGATACAGTGTAAGAACTCAGCATCCGTTCATATAAGTAGAAATCGCTTCACCTGGTATGGACGCGTACATCGCGTTTGGTATATTCGCGGCGGCGTCCGCAAGTGGCCTCCAATCATTCTGGTCTTGCTGCTCGGGTGTGGCGTCTGGTGGAGAATTAGAAAATAAGCATTGCTATTATATTTGAATGTAAGCACCATTACAAGTTATCTGTAAGATACTGTTTACTGTCAAATTACCGACCCATATCTATTTAACTAGTCATTTCAAGAGTTCCACGAGAACTTCTTGCCCAAACGGGACAACTTGATCTTGGTAACGTTATATGTGATTGTGTTTCTGAAACATAAGACAATATTTTGGTATTTAGATTACACGACTGGTCACTATCTGGAACAAGCTAAGTCCTGATCTTTGTATGTAACACTGGTACACAAGCCACCCAATTGTCCAATATTTTGGCATTCAAGAGATCTTTTGCAAGCGCTACATTCAGTAGATTTAATGGTCACCACAGTTCTGACCTTCCTTGCTCATGGTCCATGTCGTGTGGGTGCGCCTCCTGTACGGCTTTGCGACCTCATTAGTATTATTACTAGTTTTTAATCATTGTCATTTTTGTACATAATGTATAATGTTTCATGACATTGTATTGTACAGTATTTAATGTTTAATGCACGATATTGTAGGAATTTGTAGTTCATGTTAATGTGATTCAATATCGTAATCTGTTTTGTATCTAATATTGTAACTGTATATTGTGGTGTTTGGGAGGACAACTTGTAAAGGTGTCAATGCACCTGTTTTGTTCTCCCTTCCATTTGTATATTTCTACTTGTGGTAAACTCAAATAAACAAATAAACATGAGACAATATGCCAAAAAACAGTTACTCAAGCAACTGGATATGATTTTGAAAACGTCAGACGTTTCAGCTA